AATTTTATAACTTATGTTTTAATATAAAATATTTCCTAAATCGTCATTGTCAGACAGATTGAGAGCAATAAATATTGTAATGAGCCAACACATGTTCCTTAGATCTTATAAAACATGCATACGAAATGAAGAATTCACAGTATTTGCAGTATTTATAACTCATTCTTGAGTAAGCCAAGTTTGTATCTGACCTTGGCATTTGATCTTGAATGTTAATCAGTGTCTGATTGAGGAATTGAAATACTTGACACATGTTCAGATCTATCTTATAAAACATGCATAAGAATTCACAGTATTTACAGCATTTATAACACATTCTTGTGTTCTTGTATTTGACCTTGACATTTGATCTTAAATTTTTCAGTGTTTAAATGAGGAAAAAATACTTTATCAAGTTCACAATACATGTATTTTATTCAGGGTGATTCCTCAACAATGTTAAACAATTGAATATTCCATTACCATGAGACAAATTCATTAAAAGTATCCATGTACAGCATTTATGAATTTCAATGCCAAGATCACAGATACATGTACATGTACTTTGTTTAAATTTAAGTTAATCAATATTTTTATCACAGTTGAATAATGTTTTACACGCATATGAATTGGCTTTCTTATCAGTCGCTCAAATTGAATTTCAAATGTCAGAGCTATTGTCAGAGAGATGGTCATAAACCAAACAGTTCCACAAATGTCAACAATACACAGAAAACAATCACTGATCTCCTTTATAAAAGCACCATGATTTCAGACTTAGGACTCTTTGACACTGGTTTGAACACCTTTCATTATTTAATCTAACAGCAAACAGATGAACTGCAATCTGTACAGTAGCAAATGTGCAGGGTTGTCCTGAATGAAACAAGAGGCCCAGGGGCCACAGCGCTCACCTGAGCACATCAGCTAAGAAAAAGCACATATCAGATCAGAACTGAAAGTTTAGTAACGTTGGGGGGGAGGGCGGGGCTTGAATTTTAACCCCCCAGGGGATCATGATTTGAACGAACTAGAATCTACACTACCTGAGGATGATTCCATATAAATATTACTAATCATGGCTTTGAAGTACTTGATAAGGAGATTTTAGAAGGTTTCCCTATAAATTCCTATGTAAAACTTTTAACGGCCATTATGGCCCCACCCTAGCCCCGGGGTCATGATTTGAACAAACTTGAATCTACACTACCTGAGGATGATTCCACATGAGTTTCACCTTTCCTGGCCTAGGGGTTCTTGTGAAGAAGATTTTTGAAGATTTTTCCTATATATTCCTATATAAAACATTGATCGGCCATTATGGCCCCACCCTAGCCCCAGGGGTCATGATTTGAACAAACTTGAATGTACACAACCTGAGGATGATTCCACATAAGTTCCATCTTTCCTGTGCCTATGGATCGTGAGAAGAAGTTTTTTTCTATATATTCCTATGTAAAACTTTGATCGGCCATTTTGGCCTCACCCTACCCCCAGGGTCATCATTTGCACAAATTTGAATCTACACTATCTGAGGATGATTCCAAATGAGTTTCATCTTTCCTGTCCCAGTGGTTCTTGAGAAGAAGATTTTTAAAGATTTTTCCTATATATTCCTATGTAAAAGTTTGATCGGCCATTTTGGCCCCACCCTACCCCCGGGGGTCATGATTTGAACAAACTTGAATCTACACTACATGAGGATGATTCCACATGAGTTTCATCTTTCCTGGCCAAGTAGTTCTTGAGCAGAAGGTTTTAAAAGATTTTTCCTATATATTTCTATGTAAAACTTTGATCGGCCATTGTGGCCACACCCTACCCTCGGGGGTCATGATTTGAACAAACTTGAATCTACACTACCTGAGCATGCTTCCCTATAAGTTTCATTTTTCCTGGCACAGTGGTTCTGAAGAAGATTTTTAAAGAATTTTCCTATTTATTTCTATGTAAAACTTTGATCGGCCGTTGTGGCCACACCCTACCAACGGGGGTCATGATTTGAACAAACTTGAATTTACACTACCTGAAGATGCTTCCATATAAGTCATCTTTCCAGGCACAGTGGTACTTGAGAAGAAGATTTTTAAAACATACAATCAAATTTTCACTATTTCTTAATTATCTCCACTTGAATAAGGGCGTGGCCCTTCATTTGAACAAACTTGAATCCCCTTCACCTAAGGATACTTTGTGCCAAGTTTGGTTGAAATTGGCCCAGTGGTTCTTGAGAAGAAGTCGAAAATGTGAAAAGTTAACGACAACGACGACGACAACAACGACGACGACGACAGACAACGGACAAATTTTGATCAGAAAAGCTCACTTGAGCCTTCGGCTCAGGTGAGCTAAAAAAAACATTATAGGCATGTAGATTGTAAATTTTGTCATACACATTTAAACTGTTTTTAATTGTGATTATCTTTCACACTTCCTGTACAATTGGCTTTAATTTCACCTTTTCCTCTCCCAAAGTAATGCATTTAGAAATCATGAAAAACCCACCTTTATGATATATTTAATTTTAGGGGGTCAGATTATTAATATGATACCAAAGATTTTTGTATTCTTTCGAAGTTTTTTCTAGTCTTGTCTGACCCCCTTATAATATGTTTATATTTTGTTTTGCGTCATTTTTTCACTTTCACTACTGTTGTTATTTTAATTTTAATTTTAATTTTTTAATTCAGTTGACTTGCCTTCGGTCTTGCATAATAACAGAGGAACATAAAATCGTATACTGCAACCTCAGTCATATAAAAATTAAAAAAAAAATCATATTTAACATATTACACTTGTATATTATAATTCATTTTATCTCTTTGACTTGATAACAAGTATGAAAACATTTGTTTGGGGACTTTTCTCTCTTTTCTCTTGGTATTTATCTATTTAATGTTTCTTCTTTGTTTTCTTTTTTATCTTGAAATTTAAGTATGAAAATGAAGAAGAAAAACTATATATCACAACATGAATGATGATGACCAGAACAATTCAACATCGTTCTCAGTTTTACTCTCAAGATTTTTAAAAGAGGAAAATCACTTGTTCTGAGAATCTGCAGACACGTCATCTCAACTCATATAATGATGTTTATGTATTTTAATGACCATGTATAAATACATGTCAAAAAATGAAATCATACATACTTTTAGATTAGATCCTTTATACTGTGATGACGCATGAGAGCAGGCAAAACCATTCTCTGTAATAATGAATATTAAAAGATTAACATATGTCTCATAACTCACAATACATCATACATACAATGTAAGTGCAGTGCTGATTGATCTTATTAAATATTTAAACAGTAGCATTGGAAATGGTCATTATGATTCTACATTCATTAGCCGTTCAGTTATTATAAATTGCACAGAAATGAAAGAATTTATTTTCTCACCTTACTAGGGAAATGATAATAGTAAAAAACTGACTAAGGCATAAAACATACGATTGTTTTAGTCTAAGAGCTCATTAATAGCTGATTGAATCATATGGCAGAGTATTTTTAAATATTCATCCCCCCTCTATTTACACTATATCTTTTTTCAGCACCCAATTTTTGTTTATATTAAAAAGAATAAAATGTTAATGGTTCAAGTCATAAGAATATTGTTTAAAGGAAGAAATATGTGTAAATTCTTTGTAAAAATGCACACATGCACAGTGTGGTATACTTATATGTTCTAGCACATCATCTATTCAAGTCCGCTGTTGACGGTTCGTGTGGAATTATCCAAACAAACAGAGCATAATTAATAGAAAAACATGTTATTACACGTTTACACAATTAAGAATCGGTTAAGTCATCCAAACAAGCTGAAGAGATATGGTCTTTCGATGCCTGGACTCTTCCAATCTCTACCCAGAGTTATCGTTCGCTTCGCTACAACACCTCTGTCAACGTCTAAATGCCAAGATTCTTGGCAAAACTTACTTTTACCTATTGCATCATAAATTATACATGTAAAACTTCTATGTTCTTGCTTAACATGTTAAATGAAAGTTTATTTATGAGAATTAGAATCAGATATCGCTTTTTCACCATATATTACAAGGGATTATTTCTCGGCAGGATATTACGAACGTGGAAAATTTAAAACACATTGTCGCTAAATCTCAACATGGTTTAGTTTTTATAGACAAACAACTTGCAGCATTGATATATGTATAGAAATGTACAGATGTTAATCTTCTTGTGGGCCATTTTGAACAACATTTGAAAAAAAAAATCACGTTCCTCCGCCTCCGTACTACATTTTAGACGTTGACAGAGGTATAAGTGGAACGATAACTTTGGGTAGAGATTGGGACTCTTCGTTGTTTACATTCTAAAATTCTTCCATTGATCGTTCACGGTTAGATCTACGCCGTATTACTAGAAGTTTATAATGGAAATTCCAACAACCTGCAAGAAGTCCTGGTCTCCAAAAACTACATAGAAGGATGTCCACGAAAAAATTCAGCATCCTTTCAATATCAAAACCAGAGATGTCTTGCCTTTACCCAAAAACAAAGCTTATTATAGAAATGTTTTGTTTTGTATAATACCATAAGGGGAAAAGCTTTTAATGGTCTGAAGTTGTGAACCCTTATCTCAATTACAAGCAACATGTCATTTTTTCAGTGCAAAACACTTAATTTCTATATTACGTATTAAGTATATTATCAAAAATGATTATACTCCGGATAATGTTAACTCTTTCGAGAAAAATTAAGTTGTTATTTGAAAGTTTGCCAAGTAAAATCAGTTCTTCAGCGAAAAATACTTATTTTCAATATTACTCATTAAGTACATAGTCATTAGTAATTCCAGTCGGGATAACATTTTCATTTCGTACAAGGATATCTTGTCACTTTGAAATCAAGACAAGTAGCTAGTCATATTGTCAGGGAAAACACTTATTTTTTTTTTTTTTTTTTTTTTTTTTTTTTTTTTTGTTGATAAGATTACTAATACTCATTGCTGAACACAATATAAACAGCTATCTCGAATCATCAGCAGTTCATTTTTCCGAGAAGATGGGTGCTTTACACGTACTGTGTTTAATCCTCTCTTTGTGCATATATGGGGCATTTGGCCATTTTTCTTTATTTGAAAACAAAACTTCTGAGAACAATGGTTTGTTGTCAAGTACTGCATCAGGAAAAGTTTCCAACGTCTTACGAGACATTCTGAATCAGGAAAGTTTGGTGCGCTTTTCAATGGTACAAAAAATACAGAATTTAGTGATGGATGCCCTAGACAACAAAAACGATAAGCAACTTATAAAGACAAAGCTTAGTGAGGTGAGAAAGGACTTACAGGACTTGGAGAGTAGAAACCAAATAATGGAGAAAGAAAACGTTAAACTTAAAAAGGAATTGGGGGTCATCCATAACACGGTTAATGACAATATAAACGAAACAAAAGAAGAAATTCAGGACTTGAAGACTAGAAACCAAATAATGGAGAAAGAAAACACCAAACTTAAAGAGGAATTGAAGGTCATTCATAACACGGTGAATGACAATAAAAACGAAACAAAAGAAGAAATTCAGGACTTGAAGACTAGAAACCAAATAATGGAGGAAGAAAACGTCAAACTTAAAGAGGAATTGAGGGTCGTCTACGGTACGATGAATGCTAATAGAAACTATACAAAGGAAGAAATTCTATCTCTTGACCAGAAAATTAAAAGCAACACTCTAGCTTTCCTAGATGAAAATCATAAATTAGCTATGAAAAATGCAGATTTCGAAAAACAGCTTGATTTGTTTGAAAAGAAAATCGAAAGTGACTTGAAAAGAGAAATACAGATATTGAAAATGAAGGACCACAGCACAATGGAGAAAATAAACGTTCTAAACGAATCGCAAATCCTTTTTGCTAAAACTCACCTCGAAAAAATCAAAGAACTTGATTATGATATGGGTAATAAAAGTATGGTTTTCAAAAACAATAATCGTGCATTGGCAAAAGAAGTTGAGGGTCTCCAATACCAAATGGATGGGATGAACGCAACATTACAGAAAAGAGGTGTAATTAGAATTGCCGAACGTGTTAAAAACAATGAAGAAAAAATAGAAAATTTCTCGGTTACTGTAAAAAAAGCTCTAGGCAATGTCTGGAAGGATCTGAATGCATCGAATGTGATCTTGTCAAAAGGTATGATAACATTCTATTTAAGTTCATTATGCCTTTTAGAGAGAAAGAAAGAAACAAATCTTTAGAAGAGTCACATTTATATAAATCATAATTTCAGAGACTGTATATATTCATATTCATTTTTTTCTACAAAAAATTATCAGTTACAATACGTACCACAAATAAAGAAATACTAGTATTTCCATATGGACCATTTAAAATCACAAGATTTCACCAAAATCAACAGCTTAAAAACTTAAAATCTCTTTCAATAAAAATAGAACTCGGAAATGTACTTACTTTGTATCTTTGATGAAGATCAATAATTATATTTAAGGAATTTAAAAAAAAAAATTAATTATTGGTGTGTAAATCACCCAATTAAACTTGAAAAATGCCTACGTTCAAGTCTATGCCTTATATCGTTACGTTTCTAATTACGTCTCTGTAGCCTCATTGTGACGTTATTTTATCGCGAGTTTCACTGTATATATTCCCACGCGTGAGTAAAAACAAAGGTGACTTAAAAATCAATTGTACAATTTTCTTTGTAGAAAAACACAGAAAATGTAAATATTTCTATATTTAAAAAAATATATTGAAATAAATGGCCTTCATTTAAAAAAAAAAAAAAAAAAAAAAAAAAATTCATAATTAGCATTACAATATGATATATAAGGATTAAATGTATACATCTTGGGGTCTATCAATATGTTCATTTAATCAAGTTCAAAAGAATTCCTGTAGCACGGATTTATACGTTGGACTCGTTGTCTATATTTTGTAAAAATACTACACTAAACTATAGATTTCCATGGATGAATAAAGTAAATCAAGGAGAAACGTATCATTATGTGAAGTAAAACAATGATTACAAAGTTATCACAATATTATCTCAGTGTCAAAGGTTATCACTATAATTTATAAGTAACGTTCACCATATTTACTGAAGTTTTCTTTAGAATTTTTTGTTAGGGGCATTTTAAAAATAACTAAGACGCTTTATTGTATATGCTTAAAGAAAACAGGACATATGCAAGTGAAACATATAGAGATAACAAACAGTATTCAAGATAAAAAAAATCCATAGAATACAAATTAAGGGTAGAGCAAACACATACCTCTAAAACATCAGAGGTGGGATCAGGTGCCATAGTAAGTAGTGAGCAACCCCTGCCGACTGGTCACGCCCGCCGAGTGCTCCTTGTCATGATTGGGAAAGATTGGAAAAATTCGTCGTGAATTTAGTGTAAATCTGTGTTCAGAAAAAAGAATGTTTTATTTTGTATTGTGATTTCATAAATATATCTTTTGTAAACATTTTATATCGTATTTCGTTTTTGTAATTTATTCCAAAATATGAATTAACCTTTGCTCTAATCTGATTGGCTGTAGGATACAGGATAGGATAGGATAGGATTGGATTAACTTCTATTTGTTTCTATCGTGAATCATAAATCCTGAATCCTATCCAATCCCATGCCATGTCAACTTGTGGGATAGCAACACTGTATGCCACCTCTCTCTATGTATAACCAAGTGACTGCCTTATTCAGGTCTTAACTGTATGCGTTATTCAGGTCTTACTACAATGTATAAGACGACACACAGCTGAAATCTGTAGCAAACACCGTCTCCAGAGAAGTTTCAATATACTACAGTACTGCGGGTATTATCTCAGTGCAGTCCAAGTATTTTTGCAATATCAGACTACTTAAATGATCGTAAAATTAATATTATTTAGTGTTTAAGACTTTAAACAAAAACGTAGGTCTAACGTTTATACGAAACTAAACAACAATCATTTCCATTTCAAACGTTTAAAAAAAGTAACGGAATAAATAGCAAACTATAATGTATTTTTTTCTTTTCTCATTCATTCCTTCATTCCTTCATAAATAGCAAATAATTTGAGATTTGATATTGAAATGAAATAAAATTGCGTTTATTTCGTAATAGGCATAAATTAAAATTTTAGAAAGTTGTTAGAAACTTAACGGAATAGATAGCAAACTTTGTTTTATTGTCATTCATTAATTGTTTGCTGTTTATACATTATATATATGATTAAAAACAGCAGAAATAAATAAATGTACAGAAAAAAATCGCATATTTTTTAATTAATTTCCTTAAATATCTGCTCTGTTTATGGTATTATATACTCAGTTTACGTGAAACCCATCCCCCTTTAGAGGATTTTAGAATGTTGCCTCTGTATATATACGGATTTTTCCGTTCTTTCCTGATCATTACAAGGAGCACACAGCGGGTGTGACCGGTCAGCAGGGGATGCAATGAAATAATAAATCCCCACTTTACCGTGTACACATTCAAACACACTTAACACTTCTTGATCTGACACTTAATTTGTGTTTCACAGAACAAAACATAAATTTTGCCATTATAATCATATGGGAGGCGCGGGGGGGGGGGGGGGGGGGTTATCTAGTAAGCTCATAGCTCACAGTACCTCTAGTTTTGACTGTCAATGAGTTGTTTAGATACTTTACGTGTACATGTGCGAAGTATATACCGTACATGCATAATATATAAAAAGAAAAGGTCCTCAATCAGTTTTTTAAGCGGTTAGCTAGCTAACCGCTTTATGGCATGGGCTCCAAAAAACCGGAAACTTCCATAAGGCGCTACCTATCGACATCGCTTTATCGCACGTAACCTTATCCTTCTGCAACCAAAACCGGAAACTTCCACAAGGCGCTACCTATCGACAACGGTAACTTCAGCAAAGCGCTTCCTATGATTTGTATACTGTTGGCGTAATACGCCCCCTGGTGAAAGATTGACAATATGCTGTGTACGAAGAGTGGCTATTATAACGATTATATCGAATTCTTATTAGTATTTACCAAAGCATTGACAATACTTAGAACACTAACTTCAAAGAACTGAGAATTTCGTCCTTATTACATGTACATCGTGCGATCGCGATTTATAGCAACTGTTAGTTTATTTTTGAAAGTTGAACGATACGGTTTATTATACAGCAGGTTGAAGGTTATTACAGACTGCAAAAACATCAGCAAATCTCTCGATCGAGTTTGATTTTCCTTGCCAAAGTATTAAGAAACACCATTTATTAAGTCAAGTCATACCTGAAAAACGTTTTTATAAAAACACCGAATACTAGTACATCTGCAAGTTTTACACTTTTTGTAACGTTTTTATGGAAACAATAGGATTGCCTCCACAATGAAACGTTTGTTTTCTTCTCTGTCTAATAAACAGTTTTAAAAGCTCAGCTCCCAGGGGTAAATTCTCTGCTCCGTCTTTGATAATTTATTACATGTACAAACGATCATAAGGGATCACTTACTTTTAGTTTTGAAAAAAATAATGGGGCACTTAAAGTAGTAAAATTAATTTTGAAAAAAAAGGATAAATATATATTAATTTTAATCGGCATTGTGACCCTCTTCTAAAAATCAACCGATATTATTATTCACAGAAGAATGAGGTATGAAAAGTCTTGGCAATTAGCAAAAATTTAAAATTTATACTTAGGGGAGATCCGTCCAATTCTGGACACGGGGTAATTCCGGACAAATAATACAGTCTTTCTCTTTTGTCTTATTTTTCGGTAATTCTGTATGGTTGATTAAAAATGTTTATTTATAAATTTTGAAAATTTGATTAATTCCTAGGGAACGTATTATTAGCTGTGAAAATCCTTCTTAAATTTGAATTTGTCCAGTTTGTCGATCATTATTTTGAGCGTTTGAGAAGAATTAAATTAAGATACAGGTGTTTAGAGACACATTGATAGAAAAGAAATCAGTGTATATTGTTTAACCGACATATTGAAGAAAGTGACACTGATAACTTCTTAAGTTACACTGACTTTAAGTGTACATTTGCATTTTTAAATACTAGTATTTTTTGATTAGACAACTTTCCTTTTCACATGTTTTATTTGAGAGCAATATTGCATGAAGAGTATATGGCAAATACACATTATGTCCTTATCTAGACATATTGTGCAAGACTTCTTTTAAATGATTCTCATATACCATTTACTTTATTCGAACATTTACTTGTTTGAAAAGTCAATAACGTACATTTCACAAAGCTTGATAATCTTGTTTACTCGCCAGTCTTCCCGTACAAGTAGTAGTTCATAATATTACTAAACGGAAGTATTCAGTATCTGTATAAAAATACAGAATGATCAATGATCGATTTAAGAAGAAAAGCTGACTCCTGAAAGTTTAAGAGGTGGGATCCGTTGCCTAGAAGAAGTAAGCATCCCACGTTGAAAGGTTATACCCGCGATGAGCCTACACAACTGGAGCTCTTTGATATCAATTCATTTACAAAGTCTCTGCTCAGTCATCCTTTTTTCTCTGACTAGCCAGCTGTAGATCTACACTACTCCAAATCCATTATTCTAAAGAATTTAATTTGTCATTTTTTTAGTTGTTTGCTATATTAGGCTTTACAATTACCTAACTTCAGATTCAATAGAGCATGAAAGACAATTAAATTTTCAACATCAACATAATTGTTTTCATCCAGAGAACGATAGGATGCCACCAAGAGAGAACTTTTAAAAATGCATTTCCTGTCTTTCAAACTGAAGAAATCTCATGTTTAAATTTTGAAACATGCATTTCAATCTAATTAAAATTTATTTAAATGTTCCAAATCCGCTACTGCTTCTCAAACATCTAACATCCCATTCGGGGTCACATCAGAGCGACCTTTCGATTATGAATACATGTACTAGTAAACACAAAAACTTTGGCCATGTAGATTCAAACCTCGGTAAACAACTCTCAAATTAATTCCACGGCTACATATCATCATTATTGATACTGTCTTACGTTGAATTAAAGTAATTTTGGAATCAATTTCATGTATAGTCTGCAGTCTGGCATCTGCACGTGAATAATGCAAACGAAAGAGCACAAACTATACAAGACACCCACACGTCATATATAACACAGCTTATGCAATGCATATTTTGTTTACTACAAAACTCCTCGGGTGTTTTGGTTCGGTGTTGAAAACAAGAAACCCATGTGAACTGTAAGCCAAGATTTCGGAGGAACCGTTTTCTTTGGCTAATCGAAGATTCACACTTACATGACCCCAAATATGATGTTGTTAGATGTCTGAGAAGCAGTAGCG